TCCTGCTATTGTTTTTAGAAAAGTTGCATATGCATTGTTTGTGTGTGGGAAGAGGGAGACTGTTACCATGCTGTAGGGTCAAACCACTGTTGCATATATGTATAAAAATACATTATCGATCTTAAGAAGCCGTTCTTTTTTATATTCCGCTCATTTTTGTAACTGCTCTGACACCATTAACCTGGCATCCAAGTGTTTCCAAAAGGTGCTTTTGGCATGGAGCCAACATCCAATACCATTAGGAAGAACTGATTTCCTTCAGTGCACAGCAGAACAAAGCCTTTGCTGTCCTACTTAGGCTCTTTAGTCCACAAAGCTCTCATTTGCTGCTACGGTTTCATTAGCATTAGGGAACACCACATTACTTATGTTTCCAAACATATAACCAGAGAGGAGGGCTTTCCAAATATTTTGTTCAAACAAGAAAGGACCCTGCTAGTTGAAATTAATTCTCTGCTACTAATATGAAATTGGAATGCAAAAAGCAAGTACATTTGACATGCTATTCTCCCCTCACGCTTTACTAGAAGTATTTCATCACTGACCAAGTGCCAAAAATTCTTCCTTTCCTCAATTCCTCCTCTTCCTCTGATTCTAGAAACAGTACGCTCTATGCAAAGATAGCTTTGTAGCATTATCCCGTAGCCCCTCAAGGGAAGAAAGAATTTGTTCTCTCCCTATATGAGCAGCATGCATAGAAGATACACAGAACAACCTGAATGGAGCAAATCCTGTGTAAGAAATTAAAACCCATTAGCTATCCTCACCACTCTGCGGACCTTTACACTCGTCCGTATCGTCCACCATTATTGACATCTATGAAACTACTCATGGATGCCTTAATGATCTCCTAGATAAGGAATGGAAATCCTAATTTGATGGCCCGTTAGTCCATGTTTACTAGAATTAAAAAAAAAAGTAGTCATACATTCCCACTCTTTTGAAGAGTGACACAGCTTCACAACATCAGTTTGTTCATTGACATTTTTTGGACAGAAGCTATATTAAGCACTATCTTAGAATGAAGCATACAGTACAAAGGCTAAAAAAACTTCTAAGAAGTACCAAAGCATTTTTTGAAAACTGGCTTATGAATGACAGTTGGATGCCTAAAAAATACAACAACCCCTGGATATTTCCAGTTTCAGAGCTGGGCTCTGGCAGGAATGGGAGATTGCATGGGAAAGGTTATCTGCCTTCCCAAGCGCTAGAGTCCCAGTGGTGTTGTGCCTGTGGAAGGCCTGCTCAGAGAAGCTCTAGCCTAGCAATAGCTTTCCTTCCTGGCATCACTGGTTTGAGAGCAATCCCTGGACATTTCCAGTTTCGGAGCTGGGCTCTGGCAGGAATGGGAGATTTGTAGATTTGTATTCAAAATAAAAACACTGCAATAAACTCTCATATAAATACCGATTCCTTGGATTAAATTGGACATACTGACAATGTCTCTTAAGTTCTCTAAGTTATGTATATACTGTAGAACAGAGCTCTCAACTAATCGATACAGAAAATACATTAAACACATCTGCTTTGTAGTTTTTCAAATTCTCTATAAACAATAAACAAGCGAATGAAAGTCCCCAGTCACAAAAATTACCTTACACTGCTCAATAATGACACTGAGATAAATGAACAAAAGATAAAGGCAACATCAATGACTAAGCAGAAAGGAATAGCCTTTTCAGAAAGGTTTCTAGAGGTGAGTCACAAATTTACTCGTGGTCCTTTCAACTTCTTCCCAGAAGCATCCACATTTGAACTCTGGGCCTTGATTAAGCAAAAAGTTTGTTCTTCATCCAGGAACACAAGGACAAAATCTTCCACACTGCTCCAAAGAAAATCAATAAATGCACTGAGATACAAGCCAAGCCAAGTGATATCTTGGAAAAAAAGGCACAAAAATCAGGCAATGTTGTACAGAGGAGAAAACAGACCAGATAGTTGCAATAAAATTTAAGCCTGGAATTTCAAAATATATCAGTGTATTAATTTGGCTGGCTCCTTTGTAAGAAATGTGAAGACTGCATTAACTAAAGATCAGCAAAAGGCAATTTAAAAAAAAAAAAAGCACATCCTACAATATCTGGTTATCTATACCTTGACAGCAAAGTATGTTCTCAACAATATTCCAAGGCAAGTATATATCACTGTTTGTCTAGTAACACCCCATATCCCTTAACAGCTGAGCAGGCAATTCTTGTAAAAAACTTTATTAAAACTGCAGCTGACTACTATTAAACTGATTAATGTCAGCTAATGGATGGTGGCCCTAAGCAGAAACTGCCCACTCAAAAGCTGGAATGTAGTCCAAAGCCTCTACATTACAAACAAACAAGTCTGACACTTCACAGAAAGTTTGTAGTAGGTCAATATAAACTATTCCAAAAGAAATGTTACCTCTCTAAATTCTACTTCCAGATTACTTACTGGAACCACAGATCAATGTCATGAATACTTCAGGTATGCAGTTCTAAACTTAACAGGTTTTTGCAGATACCAGGAAGCTTTACAATAATAGCAGCTGAAGCATCAAAGCAAGGAGCCAAGCTGAATCAAATCTGCACCAAAGACAAAACAGTCTTTCCTGGGTTAAACTCAAGGTTTACTCTCCCCCTCTTACAGACACTTGTTTTTTCCCCAAACAAGCCTCAAAAACCGATAAAAAGAAAACCATGGAAGATCTCTTCAGAGGGCTGAGCATGGAGGGAATGCTATAGCACAAATTACTCTATTCTTCCTAAAGCTATCAGTAGCTAGTCCAGACACTCTTTTACATGGGAGTTTCAAATGAAAGGTATTAAACCACGGGTTTTTTAAAGGGTTAATGTTCCCAGCTTTCATCCACTTTGGAAAGCATTTCTACTTGCATTAAAAACCTACGACTCTGGTATCAAAATCTGTAAAAAAATAATTTCCATTTTACTAAAAGATTCATTTACAATAAACTCTAGTTTACTGCATCAACATCAAATTGCTGATTAGTCTCCATTTCAATGACCCCTATTTTGATGATCTTCAGACAACACAGTTGAAAGCCTTAGGAATCATATTAAGCATAGAACTACATCAATGTATAAGCTTAAGCAATCTACCTCAATTAATTACTATAATTAATTAAATCTGCAACATCTTTAAAAACATTATGTGTTTATCATGACATTTTGCATTAATTACGCATCATTTTATTCTCTTTTGACTGAATTGTACATCATTATTTCCATACTTTTATCTGACCACAATTTTAGTCTGCAGTTACCCAAGTGATCTTATTTGCAGTTTTGAAGCACTGGCACAAGATTAGTTTATTTCCCAATTCTTTGTTCTCAAGGCTACATAACTTTGCCAGTCCAAACTTCCATGAGTGGGAGATTAAAAACTCAATTCCGTATTTTGCTCTCTAAAGTCTTAAGACTTAATGCAGTCTGGTATAAGGAAATACATACTATGCTCTGACGAGATTCCACAAAGAAAGCGTTCAGAGCACAGAAGAGCAGGAATCAGGTCTTGTTCAGGGAAAAAACCCTAAACACTTGGCATCAAAAAAGCCCCAGTGCATTTGTGAATATAAGCGTTGTATTTTATTATCACTTTAGGAAAAGCAACAAATTACTTAACCACACAACTGCAAGTCCAGAGTAATCCAACTGACAAAATGTGGCTGATTATATAACTCAACACCACCCATAGCAGTTCTTGTTTACTCAATTAAAGCCCATGCAGGTTTTTCAAATGAACCTGAATTATGCATAAATTTAAATAATAGGTTAAATTCTGCGTAATATCCTTCCTTCCTGCATTAGCAGTACTGCATGAGACAAAAAGACCCAACTCTGTTCAAGAAGTTAAATATTTTAAGTTACAAAATATTATAAAGTGACTATTTCACATATTAAGGTTTTATCAAACTCTTCTCCTGAAATATCTGAGGTGTTTCTATGAAACATTACGCAGCTTGCTTTTTTTTTTTTTAATAAAGATCAAGGCCTTGAATTAAGTTAAAATGATTCAACGTTTTACATTTAATGACTCCAGGTAAATTCATATATTTAAAGAAAAAAAAAAAAAGAACTTGCAGTGTTTGTGCAAAGAACTACTTGATGTGCTACATTAAAAATTATGACCATAACCAGACATAAGTATATTAATGAGAAGTTACCAGTATAGTACAGTATACCTTTCCCTATTTGTCTTCAGGACAAATTAGATTATAAAATTTTATTTTAATTAGAGTATGTTACACTAATCCACTTCTGACAACACATTTCAGTTTTTCTGGTCTTTGAGACCTCTTCACAGAATCCCAGAACGCTTGGGGTTAGAAGGGACCTCTGGAGATCACCTAGTCCAACTCCCCTGCCAAAGCAGGGTCACCTACAGCAGGTTGCACAGGATCGCGTCCAGGCAGGTTTTGAGTATCTCCAGAAAAGGAGACTCCACAGCCTCTCTGGGCAGCCTGTTCCAGCGCTCTGCCACCCTCAAAGTACAGAAGTTCTTCCTCCTATTCAGAGGGAACTTCCTGTGTTTCAGTTTGTGCCCGTTGCCCCTGAACCTGTCACTGAGCACCACTGAAAGGAGTCTGGCCCCACCCTCTTGACATTCGCCCTTAAGGTATTTGTAAGTATTGATGAGATCCCCGCTCAGTCTTCTCTTCTCCAGGCTGAACAGACCCAGCTCTCTCAGCCTTTCCTCAAGAGAGAGATGCTCCTGTCCCCTCATCACCTTTGCTGCCCTCCGCTGGACCCTCTCCAGTAGTACTCTTCAGTGCCTAATTGTTTCTGTTTTCTACTTTTGCCTCCATCTTTATGCATTCCTTTCTTCCTTTTCTATCCTAGGATAATAGCTCTTTTATTTTACTGTCTGAACTGATTATCACTTCTCTCTCTTCCTGCTTGTTTGCTTTTATAATTATCAATTTGGTCTTCTGGTCTTTCTTTTTTCCTTTCAACTGCAATGTGCTTCTTCCTAAGAGGCAGACAAGAACTGCTTCCAGCTAAACAGCAGTTGTTTTTTGGTTGATTTTTTTTAAACATCCTGTTAGCTTTACATCTAAAAGCTAACAAAGAGCCGTTTCTATGTCAAGAACAAAAAAGTGTCTTGCTTTTCTGCCTCCTACAAGTTCTGGATTGTAGCTTGCAGACTGACCTGCAAATTATACCTCATTCCTCTCTGAAAACAATCTATATATTAAAGTTAAGAGAGTGGAAAAAACGTAGCTGTGATCAAACTTCAAGGCTAAGCATTTTATAAACTAGAAGATTAATATCAATGAGAAGTTTCAGAGCAGCAACATCAAAAGCCATAGCCACACTGGAAATAAAGCAGAGGCACTCAGATTAAGACAAAAAAAAGTTACAGGTGTATAAACACATAAACAAAACAGTACTTTGCATTTTAATTTCATATTAAAACAGAAGTTCAGTATAGAATCAGTACAGATTCAGTACAGGCAGGATAGTATGAAGAAAATCTACTAGTCTTTTGGAGATATGAAAAGGAAACATTATTCCTAAAAAGAACATCTGAAAACAATGTGTAGGCTGACCTTCAGGACATGAAGTTATTTTGCTTGCAAAAATTAAGACACTGGTGTTAATAGTAAACTGTATGTCGCAGCTTGAAAATATTTAAATGAGAAACTATGCTAGAAATGCAGACTTGAAGTGCTTAATATGCAAATGAAAAACAGTGGGAATTTAAAAATTACTTTAGCTGGATGAAAGACTACTTTGCTCCAAGGAATAAAGAATTAATAAATTCATAGCATGAACACAGTACGAAAAATCCATTTGCCTGTTAAACTTTTGTATATATTCTTAAAAAGCAATACCACTGGAAAATTTGATTTCAAAAAGTCACATTTCTATGATTAGAGAAATGTTTGCATGATCAAGTGCGCAAACAAAAGTAGTACTGAACCACTGGAGATCTAGCCATGCTGTAAGATAACCTATACAGCAAGGCAGGTTTCTAAAGTGAAGCTAAAAATGGAGAGCCACGATTGAGGAAGAGAAATACGCTTTTCTCTTTAAAGATCTCCTCAGACCAGTAGCAAAGGAACTGCTTTGGAAACTTCTGATGGAAAGTCAGGTCTTGCAGGAGGGGCTGTCTTGTCTGGCAGCTAACGACTTCACAGGTGTGACAGACATGTATCTTCCAGGAAAGGGCAGGAATCTAATCACAGAGAGAACAGCAGCAGAAACATTTGTGACTGCTTTGGGAATGAGCACCCAGAACCACAACAGAATCAAGTTCTCCATCTGGAGATCAGCAGATCAGCTGAAAGACACCAGAGATTGGCATCAGAGATGACAGCTGTGCACTCCAGTTCATCCATGCCACCGAATGTTTCAGTTGGACTAACGATTAGACTTTAACAGCCTTAGTTTTCTACCAGTAACTTGATTGAAACAGTTCACAGCTGGTACACTGAACACCAATGTTAAGACAAGACAGGAAAGGAATGCACTGCCACAGAGGGCATCTCAACCACCACTCCTATTTGTCCAACTTATGAAACACCTCCAGAATTCTTCAGTTAATGGATGGACATGTTCATATGAACTAAACCAGTGTATTCACCTCTCTGTATCAGGATGCAAACTTAGTAAAGAAAAATCCAATTCTTCACAAGTTTACCTATGGGTCTGCTTTCTGTTTCTCTCAGGGGACTCCCGCTCTGTCTTCTGTGGCAGGCTCACAGCCTACCTCATTCCACAGGGAAGGCAGTTTCCTAAATGCATCTAAATGTACCATCTAACAAGCAGAGTATGCGCTTTTTTCCTCTCCATACACTACAGGAGTGGACTTAGAACAGTGTGCCCAAGAAAAGAAGGGAGTGGTATCGACGTTACAAAGAGAAATGGTTCCCTGAGAGTAGGAG